ATTCTTTTTAATTAATATATAATTTAATTAATATATATATTCGCATGATGCTGGAAGTGGAATATTAAATTTAGCAAGGTTTGCTTTGCAAATTAGATTATTTCGTGAAAAAAAAAGAAAATCAATAAAGAGTATCGAGTTGTTGAGATTGTGTAACTGTCACTAATATTTTTTTTATTTCATTTTTTCCAACTGTCGCAAGAAAAGTGTCAAAGCTTAATCATGTACTTTTTGACATTTTGATTTCGCGTTTTTACGAATCAAAATGTTTTTATGAATCAAACAATATGAGATTCATTGTCTCGTAAGAGGATTTGTTGTATCATACACATTGAGCAATTATTAAAATAATTTAAGTTTAGAATAATTAGACTAATAAAAATTAATTAGAATGAAATCGATATGTGAAAATGTTTTATATAGAGGGAAAGCTTTTAACATTTTTTTACTTTTCTGTGATTGAAAAAAAAAATTTAACTAAACAATTAATATCTTAATATATCTTAATTTTTGCACATAAATATACTAGATTAATGAATATTAGAATAGCATACTAAATATTTACTAGATGTAAAGAGATAATATTGATCCCATTAATTTAATTACATTTTTTTATTGGAGTAAATATTTATTTATTGTAAGTAAATGTTTAGTATTAGTATTATTGAAAAAAATGTTAAGATTTAATAAAGCTTTTTTCTCAATTTTATCAATGTATTGATAAAATTTTGATATAGAAATAATAGAGTACATATTTTTAAAATAAAAAAAGTTTTTATTTTTAAAATGCAAAATATTCAGTACGTTAAAAGCATCAGAGATGCGAGCGATCAGCCAACAATGAATAACATATATTTAGATGAAATAATTGATAAATAATATAATTAATAAATTAAGTATTAAAGCTCGGTTAAGATCAATCAATGTAATCAATTAATGCTTATTCGAGAACATAGAATCACAATGTGAAAATTAATCAACATAATTATAAACACGTTTCTATCCTGTTTCGGAATTTTATCAATGCTCCATGTCAATAAAATGCAGTCATCTAAGAATAGTAATGACAGTAATCGTATTTCCTGATTTATTATACAATAAATTTATCATTATATAAATTAGTCGTTATATAGTACAATATAAGTATATAAAATTTTTTTCTGATTTACATGATCATTTTGTAACGTTATTAAGCACCTTAGATGGAAAAAATATTGAACAAGACTTATCTCAGAAATTATTTTTATCAAACAACAAACTAATAATCTTCTAAATTTACAGAATAGTATGGAATTGTTGGACAAAACTTATATATAATAACTTATATAATAATTATATAATAACTTATTATAATATATAACTTATTATAATAACATAATTATGTTTAAATGACGCGCTCAATGTATTCTATATTTTATGTTTAAATGACGCGCTTTATGTATCCTATATTTGTACTGTATGTCTTGTATTATTGTCTCATCAGATAAAACTTCGACTGAACACTTTAATAACGTTGCAATGATCATATAAGAAAAAAAATTGTATATATTTATATTCTGTTAATATAATGGCTCAATAAATTTATTGTATATAGTATACCAGGAAGTAAGATGACATCACTGTTACATTACTATTCTTAAATGACATTTTGTTAATAATTTATATGAAGCATTGATAAAAAGATCCGAAACATCTGCATTTATATGATTTAAATAAATAAATTTTCACATTATCATCTTTTGTTGACTTGAATAGATATTAAGTGATTTAATTGATAAATGAATAATATCCACAAAAGATTGAAAATAATGTTAGCGCGACAGAAAAATCAATTAAGTCAAAATCAGTTAAATCAGTTAACTTTTAAAATCAGTTAAGAAATTGACAGATCACAGATGATAGAATCATTATTTATTTATGTAATTAATTTCATTAATTTGTCATTAATTTAATTAGTGATCCAAGATAACTATTAATACAGTTTAATTAATCTAAGTGATTGTCCAAAGCATCAAACACCAAGTACTTATAATAAATGTTTAACTGTATTTCTAATTAATCTTCATCCTACTGCAATTTTCCTTGCCATACGTCGATTATTAATTTAAATTCATATTAACAAAATACTCTAAACTGTGTTTCTAATCAATAATTAATTCAATCAGAATAAATTGCTTATTATAATATTTTTAACTATAAGTATACAGTTAATCTAAATTATTTTATCCGTAGTAAAAGTTATTGCTTGATAAGACATGGATTAAAATTAATAGAGTTCTTTTTATTTTATTCACAAATATTCGGGGTGGCTTTGAATTGATCAGGATCCGCAATCAGTCGAAACCACAATGATAAGGACAGTCCACTGCATATCGTTAGTTCGCATGATTACGTAATGTCTGCGTGGCGCTAGCATGCTAAGCGCTCGATCATATCTATAGATATAATATCTATTTTTTTTTATATTTTCCGAACAAGGATAGAATAACATCGCTGATTCCCGCAATTCTGGCAATTCTATAGAGTTAAGTTAATGTATATAGTAATATATAAATCATTATTATACGATCGTTAATTGATAATTTTTGCAATATATAAACTTTATTGT